GTTTTTGTGCCAGGTGTAAGTTGTAGGGGTTTGACAATTTGGTTAGCTGTATGCTCAGGTAGGCAAGCTCTTTACTCTCCGTGGACTATGGCATTGCTCCGCGGAATGGACATCAATTCACGCTAGTAATGTTTGAGGTTATCTTAACGTTGGTAATGCATGCTCTGCCAAAATGCCTTACGTTCTTGTTACTTCAGGTAATACCGGAGTCGTTACAACTTTCCATAATGGGAGAGATCTGAGAGAAAACCTTAGCTATGGGTTTAGCTCAATGAGATTCATTAATAACGTAGACTTTTCAAAACAGAAAATAAGGCGCCTAAATTTGATTTCCATGTCGCCTGCAACGGATCATGCATACACCAGAACTGTTTAGTTGCTTCTGCGCCTACTTAACATACGTATTTTTAGGGTGATAATTTTGAAGTCTAATAATGAAAGCAATTTTTGTGATAAAATGCGGTTTTTTTTAGCATGACGAAAAATTTATGGGTGTCTTTGGCGGCATGTATGAAGAGTTAGGCTTTGGCGCGAGCATTGTCCCTGGGCTTGGTTCGTATTTTGTAGTAATGGGTCCAGGGGTGTGGATATTTGTTGAATGAATTGCCGCATTATTTACATTTATATATTGGACGGCATCAATTAGCATGAAAATTTGGCTAGCGATTTTGAGGTAGGCTTGGTTCATTGTCTTTGCAATGCCTGCGTTAGAATTCTCGAATTTCATTGGCAAACTCCGTTAAGTGCTGACGTCGATTGCGTTCACTTGGTTTGAGGCTTGTTTTTTTTACTATCGGTTGGCGTCTGCTGATCCTAACGGCTTTCGTTCTTTTTCAAGTTGTGACGAGAGGTGAGGAATCGCGCTTTTTCCCATTCGTTACAAGTTTTTCATTTGCGGGCCAGAATACGCCTTTTGAATTGACAGGTTTTACCACTGCAGGACACTCGAGCTGTTCCATACGAATAAGATGTAACTGCTGAGGCTCTTTAACTTATTTTGTTCAGAGGACCACACAATTTATACGAGAGATCTTCTGGTTCACTTTTTCATTCTACAAGTGCGAATGAATGTACCAGAGGAGCTTGACAAATAATCCAGCAGTTGCATAATATGGTTCACTAGGCCTTTAGCGCATCTCTGAACTTGAGAATGTGTTTCATCGGTTAGTAGAGCAGTTGAATGTGAAGGTCTGCTCACTAGATAGCGCTTCGTGGGATCTCGTTTGCTGATTGGAAGATGCTGGCTCCAATTAAAAATGGGAATGACCATTTGCGTTCTGCTTTCAATAGCTGGATGAAGTTTGAGTCTGTAAAGGTGGTAAATTTGTTTTGGCACATCTCATTCATTTTTTTTATAGGATGGAGAGACAAGTATTTTATGTCAACTCGGAGTCTTCGGAAATGTAAGTCATCTCAGCGAAGATCTGAAAGTAGATGTGAAATCATTGAATATGTATCTTCAAAACTCCAAAATGCTAAAAGTGTAAGTCTATACTTTTTCCCACCTTGTAACTTCACTCATGCCTTTTCATGCGAGGTTTCGTCTTTTTAGGGAAACGTCAACTCTCTGACAGCGTCCCGTCAATGTTGGAACAGAAATAGCTATGCTGACGGCACAGCTGAAAGCCTTTCCGCTTAAAGACGTGATTTCTTCGCTTCCAGGAAAGATTTTTGCTCGCCGTTTCTCTGTTATAGAGGATGAGGAGAACATCTTCTCCGTACATTACAGTCGTTCAAGCGGCAAAGGAGTCTACACTTTCATCAGGAACCTTTACGCCCATTTCGACAACATGCGGTTCATTCAGTGCTCTTTTCACGTGACAGTGTATCACAGTCTAGGGGCGACAAGTATGCGCGTAGAGGCGATTGCTGAAAAGGTTGAGTCCTTGGTGCGACCTCAGGAATCACAAAACCGATCCCTCCTCTCTTTTTCTCTGCCGCGGGCGTAGATGAGGTCTTGGTGGTTCTGCCGCCTAATAAGAGTTACAGCGAGTGCTTTACCTTCTCTACCAATGTTACATATTTAATGTCCTGATTTGTTCTTTTTTGATTCGTTGTGATTGGCTGATTTTCGGCGTTGCAAATGCATTATTTTGGGTGAAAAGCAATGATATAGACGCAGGAGCTTCTTTTCAGTGGGCGAATGCACTTATTTTCGAGAACCAAATTAATTATTTATTTTGGTGGGCTACCATTGCTGACCTAATAGAACAGTAAAGTATCTGGGCTGCGATGAACATGTCAGAACTGGGATGTGTGAAGTCATGATCTGTAAGCGAATTATCCCTCTTGCTAGCGTGTTATGCGAATTGGTCGTTCGGACGCGTTTCGAGGTGGTTAGTATTTCTTTTACTGAACCAAAAGCGAGCTGATAAATCACGCAATCATGGTGTTTCCCTCAAACCTTGTTGGCCTATCTTTTCTTCTGTGGAGCACCATCACAGCGAATCCCATATCATGACCTTTTAATTTCCTCCCTGTGTCTTCATTGGATTCTAGCAGGCCTGTCACTAACACCTGGCGTTTCGTAATCTTTCAAAATTTTTTTTTAAATGGAGGCATTAGTTGGTATGTACATTAAGTAGATACCTTCTATGGAAACGGTTGTTCTTGCAGTGTAGCATCAGTTATTACTCCGAGGTAGGGGTGGCTACAAGGTCTATCAGTCAGAAACCACAAAACGCCCCTCTTAGTAAGCATGGGTAGTCAGTGCGAAGCTGAAATTTGGCTTTGTGAGTTTGCTAAAAACAAACTTGGTGGTTCATAAGCTGATATGGGCGATCTGGAGTGCTTTTGACGTCCATTTGGCTACAGCTTCTACTACGAGGAATAAAATAAGGAGCCCTGTTTCTGACTGGTACACAGTGAGGAAGTTAAGTAAGAGTGCTGGGCCAGCCTGTTTTGAGTTCAGCAAAGTGTCTGTGTAATGCGTTTTGTATGCACATATCGACTCCTTTATTATGCCCAGTTTTCAAATGTTTTTTGTTTGGCTTTCAGTTGTTATACATGGCTTGACGTTTTGGACGACTCTTCTCTCCTTCGTAAATTACTTTTACCAACTTAGCTACCTCTCAACCAATTCGCACTCTTAACCATTTATCTCCGCTTCGCTGTAACCCTCGTTCCTTACAGACATGGAACGCAATGCGGCAAAGGTAGTGGCCGACGCCCCAGTGTTAGACCCACACGACAATCCCACCTTCAGCCTCCTGCTGCAGTACCATCACCACGATCGTCATCCTGAGATTGCCAACGGTTTTCCCTCCACCTTCGCCCCCACCTACCACGGTATTACACTCAGTGCTCGCGTAGACCACCGCATTTTTGATCGCGTCTCCCTCACTGTGCGTCTATATCACTACATTCACTATTGTAACCACGCCAACTCTGTGTACTCTTTCCGTTTTAGGTGGTACGGACCCAAGACATCGTTGATGAGCGGTCGGTCAAGGCTGCACCTGAAAATGAGGGCGCTACAGCTGATGATTCTGCCACTACCACTGCTTCCTCGCTAGTGTTATAGATTTGGTGACGCTGTTCATTGGCGTGATGTCGGAAGCCCAGACACTGGAGGCTGCATAGCCGAGTGGGCTCGGAAAATGTGGGATCTGACACATATGTAGATCTTGCTGTTCTTTGATACCTTGTAGAATGGAATAGTAGTAGGAGTTTAGGACTCCTGGTTTGTCCAAAATGGAAGTCCCCTGTCTGCCAATAATAACTGTCAATTGGATTTAATTCGGTTTCTCTGGTCGATCAGTAGTCATTTTAACTTAACCTAAATATTAATTTTTATTCTCTTATCAAATTAATCGAAGAATGCTGAGGATTCTAACCATTTGACTGCTGCTTAGATATGGCTTCAAATTTCCTTTTGCTAATGCTATGCGTCCTAAAATCTGGCGAAATACCTAAAAGATCAACGCCTAGATAAGTCACTGCTTTACGATGATTCTACTTATTTGCCAAGGTTTCAAAATATCGGGACTGTTGTCTAAGCGTTGAGTAGCTTACATTATAGTCTACAAGGAGCCCGTGTTTAGACAGCCTGATCGGGTGACGTTGTGTAACTCCTCATCTTTGGATTAATTGTCTGGGCTTCTCACTTCTCGGAGGTATTCCTCCGAGAGTGTTAGTCGTCCCAATTTTACGTCATGGTTACAATATGATCTGTTTCACTGAAAATTACTGAATACGGTTTATCCACTAGCTTTCTTCGTTTGAATTGTTCAAGTTTAATAATGTCCTCCCATCCTGCACATGTAATGCTACCAAAGCTTAGGGTGTTGGGAAATACAAGATGCTCGAAAGAGTTCGCGGGGTTTCCGATGGAACTCGCTGAACTCACTTGTTGCTACTTATAGGGGCGTGTAAACGCATACGTCGGTGTCGATGTGGTACTCTCTCCTGTTCTTTAGCTTTGAATTTTTATACATATTAGATGAAACCAATGTGATCCAAACTTACATACTTTACGAACGGGTTTTAACTCAGTTCTAGGTATGAAGCAAAAGCTAACTTTGCCAAGTCTTCGGTATAGTAGTTGGGAAAAAAATGCGGTTATCAGTAGTAAAACGTATCGCTTTTAGTCGAATAGTTTAAGCAGTTTGATTTTGATGATGTTGTCACTTTAAAGGACATTAAGTTTAGGAAGATCCCCTATTTTGATCTCTTTTGGCTGATCTCATTCGTGACCAATATGTCAAGACGTGAGTGGTCATTCAACAATTGGTTGTTGTCCCTTCACTTCCTTCACCTGCGTGTAGGGTGCTTTGTTAACCAAGCAACTGACTGGGAGAACACCCTGTGAATAGTTTGATTAGAAGTGACTTGTGTTGCCACGTTTGCTAGGCGAATTAATATGTTATTACCAGCTATCCCAAAACTGTCCACACACGGGTGGCTTCACAAGTGTGAAGAACACATCAATCCATGTCTAAAAGACTGCCTTGTGCGTATGGTGCGTGATGGATCGTATACGCAATTGGTCGTGATGAATTGCTGACATCATCAGCATCAATGATGACTGAGATCTGTCTACTCGATGGAATTTGATACAAACAAGAGGTGCTTAGAATGAACTTCTTTAAGATGGCAAATTTGAACAAATCAGTCTAAGGAAAATGCTGTGCTTAAAAGCCAACATAAAATCCCACTTTTCATGACTACAGTACCTACCCGGGAGAGGCCATCATAACGCACTTGACGCATTTACCTCCCCTCATTCTTAATCGCCCTATTCCTTTGGTACTACTTTTTCAACTCCTACTTCTTGGTGTTCGACGATTGGCTGAGGAATATAATAGAATAGACGGATTAAAAACTACAAGGGGACAAAGTGGAGGAGGCAAGGTGAAATTTGTACCAAGCTTGCGTTTTATTGAGAGGACTTTAGATCGCTGATTGAAATGTTGATTACTTCAACAAATAGTGGGTCTTTGAAGAACTTTTTGTTGTGGTTTCTTCATGCATATCACTGCGAAAGTTGTGTGAATTTATCTGTTTGATTGGTTGTAAAATGGTAGTAGCGCTGGTGGTGGTGGTGTCTAATTAACCCATCCACTTGATTTCATGAGGTAGCTTCGTATAGGTGTGAAGCGGCAAACGTTCTTGCACAACTTTTTCTAGTTGGTGAACGGTTTATCGTCAATTTTGCCACAAGACTTTGTACATTCAGAGACTGCACTGGCAGATGTTACCACTCCTCCCCATGAAATAGAGCTGCATATAACCCAGATGTCCTCGCTCCCTCTCCAACTCTTATCTTGTCACTGCGTCATTTTTAATAATTTGATGCTTAAATAGGAATATCATCCAATCTCGCTACTGAGTTATGTGAATTAAAATCCAATGTGGGGACTTTCGGTTCAGAGAAAAAACTTGTTTCTATGATGGACATTCTGAACCGTCTTAATGTTTGGAGTTGTCTGTTCCATTGCTTCATTGGAATTAACAATGCTGTAGAATACGCTGTGACAAATATGTCACTTCTGAGGGTTCTATTCAAAAGCAAAATCTACCCAACAGTTCATCCATCCTAATTCATCCCCAACCCGTATGGATTTTTTTGGTGCCTAATTGTCTCACAAATTACTATGTGGGGAAAACATCGTCAGTTAACGAAAAGACCAAAACTAAATCATAATCCGGTCAATTATCCTTCCATCCATCTCCTATCTAGTTTTACGTCCATTTATTAGCCTGTTTACTTATGTTTGACTTCTCCAAACAAGCCCTGAAGTAATGGTGAAACTGACTTGATGTTGCTGATAGATTTGAAGTAGAAGTGAGATTGGCGGAGGATTAGAGAAAGTCTGGCTTGTAATGCATGTTATTCGAGCAGCTGCCTTTTCCACACCACAGCAACCAACATCAACGACAGCTGCAGCGGAGGTGCAGACGCTTTTACAGGCACCGAGCATGCCGCTGGAAGTTGACGAAGCGTCAGTGGTGGAGGATTCACGTCTTCTAATGCAGCACTGCAGGCTACGCACGTGCAGGTGTCGGAGGAGCTGGAGGCAGCCTACCACAGGCGTATTGAATCAGCTGTCACCATTCAGACTGCATCGGCGGTCAAGGCGGTGGAGTTCGCAGAAGTGGAGCAGAGCCTTAAATGGGCCCGAGCAAACGCTGTGAAGTTGGAAGTAAAGGCGACTGAGTTGCCGTCCTTTATTTGTTTTTTATCTGTCTCCCATTTACCTGCTCATCATACCAAAAAGCTCACCTATCCCGTGCCTCTCTAGCTATCCATGCAATTGTGCTTCTCTGTTCTCTGCCTCATTATTATTTATTCATTTGAGCATTAATTACGGTGTCAAACGTCTGCCCAACAGTTCACTTTTTATCTACACGGTAATGCATCGATCCTTCTGAACCATCTATTTGGTGGACTTTGTTTTAAAGGTTCTGACAATAGTCTTGGATTAGTTGCCTGTTTTGAGATCGCCTTAGTTATGATTACTCGTGTAATTAATCCACTTGCGTCTAAAGTCCACAACGTTTGCTTGCATGCTATCCTTATTGGTCAAGCACTGCGTTGAAATCTATAGCTGTTGATATTTTTTTGATGCTGGTGGGGGGTGATATGTCATAGATCTGAGTAATTGCTACAAATCCAGTCGACTCCGATCCGGTTATCTAGTATTTTGGATCTGCTGATGCCCTCGTCCCATTTGCAGACACCGCCAGTTAAAACGCTGAATATGCATCCAGCCTGTCAGCGAAACTGGAAGTCGCCATGACATCTTCAGCGCCTTCAAAGTAAGCCCACTTCTTTGGAGGTCCATTTGAGTGGGGTGGTTGGGGTCAAGGTGAGTGTGCATTAGGCAGAGAGGGTCAGTGGTGAGTGTACACAACATTTATTCCTCCTTTCTCGTAGGCGCACGAAATGGAGACAGAAGGGGTGATCCAGGAGCACTCAACTCTCCTCGAAGCGCCTGAATGGAAGCTTGCAACCAGTAAAGTGGGCCTTTTTTCCCACTCTTTGGATCCTTTTTCTTACGCGTTATTTGCGTCGAATTCTGTCAAAGTGGAGTAATCTTGGTAGCGACTGATAATCCACTGAATACTGGTTCTATTTCCTCCCGCTCTTTTCTCAATCCTTTTTTGTGTTGTCCTCGCGACCTCAGTATAATCTCATTATCAATATCTGTTCTTTATACATTAGAATCTCATAATTACCTTGGGATCAGTATGAATGATAGCAGATGGTTTTTTACAAAGGTCAGGTCTCCAAATCCGCCATCTTTCACTCGTCGATCAATCGTTGCCTACTTTGCGGGACTTGTACTTTGGTTCTCCCTGAATAATCACCATCGGTGACTATCAGTGATCATTCTGTAGTTCTTAACGCTTGTTAAGTTTGTCAGGGTCGATTGGGAGGTTTTCTCTTTTTATATCGTGCACTCTCATAGGTTATTCAAGGTTTTGGTGTTGTGGATGTGGACTGTGGCTGAAGTAATCAGTCAACTTTATTTCCAATCTCTTGAGATCAGCCGTTTGTGAATTTCAAGCTCTCTTCTGCCATTGCAATTGTGAATACATTCTGCCTTTTTTTAAATTAATGACAAGTCTAAGATGGGTCAGGGACACTCAGCATTGTTCGCCGAATCTATGCTTTGATGTTTAATCAAGTACCTTATTTCTCCTTTTCTTCTCATTTCAACCGTAGCCATTGGTATTGGATCGTGTCGTATAATGGATGTGGGGTGGATAGTCAGTACCTTTCTAGCTTTTAAACAACAATTTAATTGGTTAGCTTGGTAGCGTTAGTGTCAGTGCCATTATTCGAACAACAAAACATCTGTACTGCAATGAGTGTTCTTTTGAACTCCTCACTTCTTTCATGCTAGTTGGATACCGGTGCCGGCAATTTTTGGCCCGTCAGAAGGAGTTGATGGCGTAGGTAGATGTCATGGATGTCCATGTGGTCAGCCTCGAGGCCCACCTTCGGTGGGTGACACAGGTGGCGCTTAACACTCAGGCGTTGGGTCGTGGATCCCCAGATTGCAACTGCAGCTGCCACCAGTACCGTCACTATGGGTGATGATGGCAATGGCGGGATAGACGAGACCATGCGAGGGAGGCCAGCAAGTATTCCGAGCTTAACTACATCGCCATCGGTTTTAAAGACAGGGTTGGAGAAGAGGGTGGGGATACTGGCGTCCTCAATGAAAGAAATGCAATCGTTGAAGATGATTGTAATTAGAGAATGGGAGGTGCGCGAAGTGTTTCCTGGGATATATGGAGAGCTTAAGGCTGTGGATTTTGGTGAAGAATACAATAACTAGGGAGCTAGAGATGTTGGCTCTTTCCTATCATACGAAGGCTGCTTCTGCCGTTAGTAGAGGTACTGGACCATTGTAAATTTTTCTATTTAGCTAGGAATTTGCCTGTCCACCTTTTTGTTCAAGCATCCCTCATCTATCCATTTAAGCATCCATTTATTCAGGCTTTATCATTTATCCTTCTTGAGCATATAAGTCAATTTACCGTCCGTCAATCTATAGGCTGTCTATTCACATCGTCTGTTCCACCATCCATCCCGATTACCTTCATTCACGTATCTCTAGGGCTCATCCATCCACTGCTTTGGCATTAAACTGTTGATGGGATATCTCTTGGGTGCTGACGCCCATCTGTCACACCACTTGCATTCATTGTTTGAATTTAATTTATTCGCGGCTTAATTTGAACTTGGGTTGGAATTACGCGTCTTATCTGGTCTAGTCTCAGCTTCTTGAGAGGTGATAGGTCGTATTATACTTGACTTGACCCAAAAATTTATAAAAACAATTTTAACTTCGTCAGTGCAGGTCCCACTTCACCTAATGATCATAGCCCATGACTTGTGACTGAAATAGCTGTCAAGCAGTGTAAGAGATTTCGGTGTTCTTTCTATTATCAATCTCCACGGAACCGGTTACTGATAGCAGACGTCCTCCCATTGATGAGCCATCGATTCACAAAGGGGCGGGTCCTTGATTTGGCAAGAGAGATGCAGTCATGTACTTCACAAAGTACGGAAAGCTGTCTGATACGTTCTACAGTCATGTGACAGCTACCTTACCGCTGAATGCGTTGACATTAGGATGTACGATCACACTGCTCAATCAAAATCCAGTGAGTTTGCCTAAGGTCATATCGTTACTTCTGCCTTCCCTTCAATTCGGTTGAAATATTTGCTCGATCTCTTGTGCCCGCCTTTCTAAACGAATGCTCCGATTCCCATATGGTGAAAATCCTAACTTAGTCCTTTCTTCTATGTCGCGCCACGGCTACATCCGTCATCATTTTATCTTTTCGTGAGTGTTAACAGCCGAAACTCGGATACGCCCTTCTCGCCTCGCATGGTTGCAGCTTCCTTAAGTTGAAACTGTTCGTGTCACTGTCAGTGTAGTCAGCTGGCTGTCTCCGTATTGGAGCTGGTGACCTTGTGAGTGCCACATCCAACTTTCTTCCAAACCCATCCATTCACCTGTCCCGACTACTCGGCTTTCATAGCTGCTATTATTTCCGTTCTGTTCCTTTTCTTATGTCCTTCCCAGTGGCCATCACCGCAACTGGACGTGATATTTGCGAAACGATGAACGAGGCGCTTCGAGTGGAGGGAGGATGCGCCACCTCGATTCGCCTTGACCCCATTTCCCCTTGAATTATTTTTGGATTCCCTGCAATCTTCGTCTCCTTTTTATGGCTCAATTTAAATGTGTGCCTGTATCTATGCGCCTCGGTTTTTTACAGTTTAAACTGGACTCAATATTTATGCCTTATTTCCCATTTTCGGACTCTTGTAAGGGATGATAAGGGGATTTGAGAACTGATGTATTTGTGGTGGAGATTGTCGGTCACGATCTTGGGATCTGCCACTGAATTGGTTTCTGTTGGGATACGTCCACTACTGGAACCAATTGCCCTTACAACCACTATGGATCCTTGCCCTCATCCCAACTCCTTTCACTAGTCTAGATGTGGCCCGTCATTGTTCGCTCCCCACGTCTACGTAGTCGTTCCACTACTAATACGCTTTCATTGGCCAAGAAAAAGGCAGATCCTGTGGGACTCATACCACCGGATGATGTTGGAATTTTCAAAAGCAAGCAGAGCACTACTTTTCCCATAGTTGTGCACCCAAAGAATTGGTGTATTGCAAACCACAGCCCTTTCTTAAACTTATCGGTTTGTGCCTACTCACCTAACACGAGCGAATGATCACCTTCTGTCTTATTACAAATAAATGCAAAAAGGACTTCAACGGGTCTGGCAGAAAGTTCAAATCAAACTAAGGTGAAATTCCAGTGTCAGTGGTCACAGCGGTGCGCCCTGAAAGCAACAGTAATGAAGGTCAGCATTATCGAATGAATCTGTAAAGTAAGTTTGGCAGTTTAAATCAAGTCTTGCTATGCATTGCTTTTTCTTAAGTAGTGCTGATAGGTGACATTTTTATCTTTCCAACTGTTTGCTAACTCTATTCTCCCCCAGTCGGTCATTTTGGTGCTGAAGATGGTGCGTGTGTAGCTGTAGTGCGGTGGTTGTTTATCTCTAGGTATTGGCGAGGAGCCACTTTTGACTTGGCCTTTATACCACGCCGGGTGGGCTGACCTTCGGGCCATGCCAGTAGCCCAAATAACTTCCCTGTGCGGAGTATGTATAGTCTGCCCGAGTATCGTGCCTTCTTTCGTCTTCAGGGAAGTCTCGGGACTCTATATAGTAGCTCCTTATTTTACAATATGTTGGGCGGCTAGATTATCGCAGTTGATATAACGCCTGACATCTTCCATCTTTTAACTTGTAGACTGCAATTGGAGTGGGAACCGACGAAAGCTCAGTTGTCTTCTCCTCGCCTGCTGTACGCATTTGTCGAATTGTTCTACCTTGCTTACTAAATAGCACAATATTGGAAACTGTGGTCTGGCTTCTACGTACAAATATTTCGGAAAATCAGCTGAGTGACAATGTGAGACTACCTGTAACAATACCCCTAATCGCGCTTTTGAGGAAGCATTATTGTAATCTTGAGGTGGTGTGGTGGTGGATGCCTTAGCGACGACCTCACTGGTGGGCCAAGCAGTGAGTTGTTGATATAGCCCCGATGTAAAGGAATGGGGAATTGACCACTTTGATGTCTGCAGTGCTATGTGATGACTTCGAACAAAGCTCATTTGACGAATTCGCATGTAGGGGTACTTTACTCAAGAGTTAAGATAAAGGTTAAATCTTTCACAAAGCTACTTTTTAGGTGTTAACACTTATCATTACGAAGTTAGTTGCGAAAAAAACAAGTTTGCTTGATTTTGTTTGAATGCATAGCGGAGTGCAGCCTCTTTATTAAGATGCTTGCACGATGGCGCGCGCTCCTAACGCACCACCTACGCACGGAATATGTCAGTTCCACTTTCACATCCGTACTTTACTTGTTTATTTCTCTGCAATTTAATGTTATTTACCTCTTTGAACTCCAGTTCTAAGTGTATTTGCGTCTGTGTGATCGGGTGCAGTATACTCTAGGAAATGGTCATTTTAGTTTGACCCCTTAAATGCTTTGCTAGCGTACTTATTCGGTAAAATCTGACTGGGAATACGATCATTTCTTCAGATAATTGATGCATTTGCAATTTGCTAGATGAGGACCCGTACCAATGTCGTAGATGTGGAAAGTCCTTTTCCCAACGTTCGTATCTATCACGGCACAGAGAGATTTCTCATCAAAGTAAGTTTCCATTATTCATTTCTGCATTGAACAAAAGACATGACCTACGCCCTTGTACATTGTGCACTCGTGTGACAAGAAGGTTGACCCCTATTACCTTATGTTACATAGATGTTTTTTATGTGTAAGTGTAGCATAATGACAAACTGAATTCGGGTTTGTGAACAAGAAATTTCATGTACACATCTCGCGTTTGGCATTATCTATGCTGCATAATACAAAAGTACACCTACCTATGCAAACCTGTTGTGGCTCCGTAGGCTGCTGGTTATGTGGATCCAAAATTTATGAATTGTTCGCCTGCAGTCCACTTTATGCAAGGTGAGTGAATGTGGGAAGGTACTATTTAGAAAGGAGGTTCTCAAAGAGCGCTAATAGTTGAAGCACACGCTTAAGGAATGCTTTACTTTGACCAAGTTAAAAGCATCACATAACACTGGAGTTGCTTAATATATTAAGTGAGAAAGCAACTAAGTGATGCAGGATTCGTTAGATCAAGCCGATATCATTGCATTATGCTTCATTAACACTCGTACCCATGATTAGTTGATTTGCCGAACAACCGATTCCATTCTGCTTCCATATTTGGGATATTTTTAGCCTTTTTGACGGTAAGAGCTGCTGATTGTGCCATTAACACAACCATAAATCAAAACTAGAGATGGGAGCCACTTGTTTGTGCCATTTTTAAAGTAGTCCTTGTGGATCGTAGACACAAAGCACTTCATGTGTGCAAACCAAAACCTACTAATCTACTGTAAATGCGGCAATCCATTTTTGAAGAGATCAAGTTTGACAATGGCCACGAAGATTGTTTATTAGGGTAGGGTGTTGTCAGCAGTTGATCATGCTTTGCAAAATCAGCCACGCTACCTTAACTAGAATGCGTAAGGAGTCATGTGCTACATCTCAAAATATGCCATTGGGAGTCCACAGAGTAAGAAAAAGTCAAATGTCTGTATTGCATTTGTACTGTAACTTGCACTGCAACCGGTGGTCCCTCTGCATGCGCTCGGCAAAAGTATGTTCTGACGGACAATTGCCTTGACGAAAAATTTGTTCACCTATTTCCACAGATTATGGAGGATAAATTTTTAGCAGAGGCATTTTTATTGGACATTTTTGGCCGTTTATAAGCTTATGTCGAAATATCGTATTTGCTTCTTTCTATAAGGGAGGTCGTTTAAGTGTCAATATTGCAAACAAACGTTTTTGCAGCGCAGCGTTTTGAACCGCCACGTTTCGGACGTCCATGAGAGTAAGTCGACCAATTACGAAGTATATTAGCGACTATTCGCATATCCTTATTGAGTAAGATTTTTTTTTGTTATTTTTTCTAGTTGGAGGGTGTTTAGGTACTAGCAATGCAAAAGAGAAACACTTTCGAGTCTTAGCTCTTTAAATCGCTGCGTTTTGAAAGTCCAAAACATTAATTTAAGTCATTCCTGGATGATATTTATGGCCAATTTAGTAATTATTGGTACTTAATGAATTGCTTTGAAACTTTTTGAGAAAATTCTGTTTGTTTCTATCATTTTTTAGAGAAGAGACCGTTTATTTGCCAGCATTGCGGAAAATTCTTTTCCCGTCAGTGTGATGTGAACAAACACATTTCTGCGTTTCATGAGAGTGAGTCCAATCATTTTTACGTGCTAGTCTTGATCACCCTTTAAATACGTATTTGCGTATGGCTATTTTACTTTGTATTTCTTCTGCTTTACTTTTAGAGAGGAGGCCATCCACTTACCAGCAGTGCAAAAAGTCCTCCTCGCATCGGGGCACTTTAAACAGACACATTTCGGAGGTGCATGAGAGTAGGTTAAGTAGTTTAGTAATGCGAGATTGGTCAACTTTAAAACATGTGTCTTCCGATAAACAAATGCGTTTCATTTTTACTACTTTAACACTACTTTTAGAGGAGAAGCCATTTACTTGCCTGAATTACGGCAAGTTCTTCTCACTGCGAATCCATTTAAACAGACACACTTTTGGGGTTCATGAGAGTGAGTTGTCTAGTTCTCAAATGATATCCCTTATTTTTGGTTATGCTCTTCCTAACATTCAACGGCACTGTAACCTTTTCCTGCTTTGCTATACTTTTTCTGAAGAGGGGACAATTCACCTCCCAGGGTTGATATTAGTACTTGTTATATCGGAGCGCTTTAAAGACGTATCACTGCTCTTAGTGGAAGTTGCTTAATTAATTTCTAGGCGACATTTATAACTATTTGTGCACTTTTGTTGTTTGATATCAAACAAAAAGTCTTTTGCCATATTCATTGAAATTTTACTGCATTTGCAATTATCTTAGGAAGAAGAGTTTCTCAAAATATTTCATTTTCATAATTTGTCAGTTTACATGGTCGCGCATTAGTTGTTAATGGGTCTGTACCAAAAGCACATCTTTGCCATTTTATAATACGCATATTGTATGATCAAATTGTCAGATGCAAGCGTTTCAAGAATTCATTTTTCCCACTTTGGAATCAGCGGTGTTTTACAAAGTATTGAATCTTCTCTAGAGCAAATTAGCAAGGGGGAAATTGTTGTGGCCTGCAAACAAAAAATGTGTTTTCATAAGAGCAATTTATAAGGTCTTTTTTAAGAAAACTGCCAAATTCTCATTTGTTGCTACTGCTATCATTTCAGTAGTATCGTTAAAATTTTATAAATTTTACGGCCCATTGTATGCTCAGTTACTGATTCCCCAGCATCGGTCGCATTCTTATTGTTTTTTGTGCGTAACAAAACAAACCACGTCAATAATTTTCTTGGTTAAATGCAAATGCTCGTTAATTTAGTTAACTAACCTATTTTCTTTACAGAACGCAAATGCAAATACCAGCATTCTTTGTCACGGGAAATGGATTTTCCAGGTCATAAGTAGGCCAATCAAGCTACCAACTAATGCGCATGCAACATCTGCTGCGTCATATCATGAAAGCCGATTCCCTGCTGATGGAAGTACTTGTACTTTGCAAACAAAGACCATCTTATGCATCTTTAACCCCCTTTTCTAGCAAATCATGCGATACGTAAGGCCTAGATGCTGCATGGTGTTTTAAAACTATTTGCCTTACTTAATCAGCATATGCTTTGTTTTTAAGTGGTTATTTCATACACGATGTGGATTTGATCAATTTTATAAAGCATCTGCATCAACAAACTAAAACTAGTGACTGAAATTTGGGTTTCCCATTACTTGTTAACAAATGAACCCATTTTAATTAAAATGTGATTGTGCTAATATATTCTTCACTGGTATAATTTTTTTATGATTTACGACGTCAAATTGGGCAGATTTTAGCATTTCTGCATTTATTATTTTCCAGAAGGCAACAAAATTGCATCAAAGTTTTGGTATAAAGGACATAAGAAGTCTGAGTATTCCTCGAACGAGCTATAACTTTCAGCCGATGTTGATGCATCGGCAACAATAGCTGCAACGCTGTATTGAGGAGGGAGATTACCTCATGAAATTCCGATAAAGCGGAGTGAGTGCAAATGTCAGTTTTCTGTTGTTAAGTGTACATCATTCGCTGCTTCCTGGGTAGCAGGACCAATTTGCATAAGCAAACAGTCGCAGACCAGCCAGTGGGAGTTATAATGCTAATAATCACATGAAAAAAATGTATTTTTAATCTCTCCTGGAAGTGATTTGTTGAAGAACATTGGCGGAAGGACTGACATTAAGTCATTTGTGAAGCACCGGAATAAGATTGTGGGCTTTCTTCAGCTGTTTTATTCGTTGAGGCAAAGGAAGGCTGATTCAGCCATGTTAGCGCCTGATAATCCATTCTCACTATGAGTCTCCCCGCTATTAGGTAGTGTCTGAAATATCTAACCATTGTGGAAGCACCAAACAGTTCGAGCTTGCGTTGCGCATATACATCTCATTTTATAGTTAATTTTGAAGCTCTCGTAGGCGATGACACGTTTTTTCGTGAAGGTACACCGCTCAGGGCTGCTCCACCGGCGTCAGTATCCAGTGCGAATGGTGGAGCACTTGTTCGAAATTCGATAGTGCTAGAATCCGTGCAAAACAGATCATTCGCTTCAATTCTTCACACGGTTTGCCATGCTCTTCCAGTTGGAATTCTTTGTCTACTTTCCTGTCAAGTTTTGCAAAGTGCGTGTGATCGTGGCAGTCTTTAACCAGACGCCTACATTAACTTGCCAGAACTGGGAAACTACAAAGTTCCATCTGATCGGTTGATGTTGGCCAGGTTTCCACTTGCATTGCCCAGATTTCGGTAAATGCCCTCTCATCGGACGAGACAATTTATCTCAGAAGGTTGACCAAACGTTGCAAGTTCCGGCACTTCTTTGTATTCAGGGTCAGATCTCAGTCTAGTAGAATGTCCACCACCAATCCCAGACTGGCGTTATGCTCTCAAATATCCCTACCAAAGACGCCAATGTCATCAAACTGTATTGTGAAATGTTATGCAGGTAGTCCAAATTGCGCGGTTTGTATGAGGATTTGGAAAGTGACGGATGGGCTACAGAGACCGTAGAGCCTGTTCTCTCCCTTCACTGCTGACATTTTTACTTGTCAGTAACCTGATTATAATCCTAGCGTTGCTAACCTCTTTGACCCATGTGGGGAGTCCAATGAATCATTTATGTGGAGTGGTGGGAAAGCATCCCACTGTGATATCACGTTCAGCTTCCTGTGGCCGATCCACAGTCGAAGACGCCCGCCTTTTTTAACTAGCGTGATATATGTGGCTCATGGCAATTTTGATGGCTTTATGACCTTGCCTCTGACCATTACTTCGACAAGACGGTTTACCTCTTCCAGCAGAGGAGAGGTGTATTTCTGGGTGGCAGTCAGATCGGCCTAGCCTCACTGGTACCTATCGTAAGTTTAGCGATGCTTATTTTGACAACTTCCTGCCTTGCTGCGAAAATGTATTCGTGTTCTTAACTAGTAACTCACGAGGTTCTTTCCTCTCGTTGTCGGTGACACGTGCAAGCTGTGAGCCGGGATCGTCTAGATTGTTCACGGGTATAGGTGCGGCTTCGAATAAGACATTATATATGTCGTTAACACTTTTTTTCGGTGATGAATGGGCTGTCACGACTTTACTGTCTTGATGGATGGACAAGATGCCTACCACAAAATTCGGGACGGCTTTGGTGCAACGTAGAAACCCCCCAAGAATTATATCCCGGACATCGAGCTGGAAGAACGCTATACTATCTCAGCCCAATTCACCATCGCCCAAGAAGGGCAGACACTTGCCAGACAGTTTTCCCATCCCTACAAAAAAGTGGGAGAAGACGACCAGGAGTATGCAAAGAGCCTCTACTGGCGGAACGCAGCTTTCGCGGCTCACTTTCAACCCGGGTCGGTGGGTGGATAACAGTCCAGTTTAGAAACGTGGTTCGCCCACCAACTATAGCCAAACCTCTCGGGATGAATACCAAGCTTCTTAGTGCGTTGGTAGAGCTTGCAACGAAGAAGCGTCAGGAGTTGCCCACGGAACCGCAAAAGGCGACCAAATCTAAAGCCCTCGTGTTGAGGCTCCCTGCGTCATACCTCCAAATTTAACGAGCCTCCTTCTTTCCCCGTTCTATTTGCTTCAAACGGTTTTAACTCATTCTTGCTAGCTCCAGGCAAACTGGAAGGACGTCCACGGCAATCTATCTTGGATTCCGGTGCGGCCAGATCAGCAGCACAATACACATGCAGTAGAATTGTGAAAGATTTACGTAGTTGAGTATGTATTGGGACATGAAGAACCTTATTGCGAAGCATTCATCCTGGTTTGGCCAACGCTCTTGGACTTCATTCGCCCCATCCCGGGGGCTCGTTCTTGATCAGCCATCGTAAGTGACTAGGCGAACCAACATCGGCCGTGTCACGGGGACGTACGTGAAACGCCTACTTTTCCTCACAGAAAGAGGACCTGTTATCGGTGGTTCAACCCGGTTGTTTATGTGGGCTTCTCACACACCCAGCTCCTTGCTAGGTAAACGTTTAATTGTATCAGGCCAATGCATACATATACTGCGGAGTCGGGAGAAACAAAATACCCGCCGAAGTCGATTCTGCAGGAGTTCAGTTTTTACTGACTGTCACTCAATTAATGGAAGAAAGAAGACCAAAAGCTGTCAAGCTTCCCATGACCCAACCACCAGTTCTATTTCAGCCCAGTGTTTCTCCCACCGACTACTAAGAAATAAAGACTCGGGCAGAGAGATTCTGGCCCGCAACTACGCATGCACTGCACAAACGCGTCCATATACAGGCTAGAAGAAAGGATAGGGCACTCGACCAGTATTCGTCACCAAAGAGCATGGCAGTGGGCCGAGTAAGACCTTCAGTTAAGCACTGTGGGGCGGCCTTTGTCTCCTCTGCACTAGATCTGCGCGGTTTCGCACAAATAAAACCTGAGGGTAGTGATGGTAGCGTCAACACCGGTGGCGCAGCAGCCGCTTTGAAAACCATTCCCACCTTCTTCGATGGTGGCGCCGCGGATGAACTTCTCCCTTGTCCACCTTTTCCTTCGCCTTCCCTCTTGCCATCCTTTCGACGTCTACAATCGTCACGGTGACATGAGTGACTATCGTTGCCTCGAAAGTGACTGGAAAATGGGGGAGCAGGTTGATTAGAGGGTTCCAACAATAAGATCTACTTGTACGATCAATTCATATCATTGTGGTTTAAATGAATTTTGGGTGGATAGAATATATTCCATGGGAGAAGCAGAAAGTCAAGTCGCCTGGTTCAACAACAGGTTCCGTTCAGCACCGTCACATTCCACACTGGTAGCGGAGGAGCTTGCATAACTTTGGCTTATTCCACGGTAAACTTACACATATACCTTAAAGCATAGAACATATGGAAAAACACGAGGGCACCACTAGAAGCAGCATTAATTCCGACAATTTTCCACAGCTCCATTCCATTCAATGGGAAACTGGAACAATTATTAAAATAAAGCGTGGTTCCCCATTGTGGAAATGATACCAACTACAGGGCTTCGGTAGTTTAGCGAAATGATTAAAAAAACTCAATTTAGTTGCAAAAAGGCAACGTACCAAAAATCTAGACCCGAGGTAAACGTGGAACAGATCTTCGTGATGGCAAACATAACATCAAAACTGGGTAAATACCTGCTAAAGCGATGTCGTGGATATCGGCGAATTCTGTGTGTTCCACTGCCATCATCCCGGGGATAGTGGCGATACTGAGAGGAGGAGTGCCCCTAGTGGAGGAGAGATAAGAAAGGACAGGCCAATAAATCCTATCGTAGCTTCCGCGTCATGATGAAGAAGGAACTCCTCTGCAGCACAAGAAGAGGGTGGTACTTCCGCCTTTACATACTCTGAAGTCAAAATGGAGAGCAATAAGGCATGAATGAGAACATTTAGACCAAACGATACGGAATCAGTGACCTTTCTCCGATTTCTCATCATTGAAGCGGGTTACTTAGGGTAGAAGCGTGGTGGTTTTAATGGATTGCAATAATTATGGATAAGTTAAGTCTTCAAAATTGCATTTTTACCCCACAAAGAAGAGTTTTAATCCGTAATTAGTAAAAAAAAGACAAAAGAATTAAGGAGAGAGGAAATTAAACAATGCCACGCAAAAAGCTTCCTAGCATATTTCACTTGGTAAAATCATTGTCGGAAAAATTTACAATCCTTCCAAAATGAGATAGAAGCTGGCAAATTGTATGTATATAAAGCAGTCCCTAAAAGCAAGTAAAAAACCCAGTCCTTATCTCCTTTTCTTCTATCTCACCTCAAAATTTCAGCCATCTATTTTATTCGGCGTGCGAGTGTCAACTATCGACGCCAGGAAGAGGTGACAATCTTCACATAGGAAATGAGGAGTTAATACGGTCTTTTTCCCGGGTCATTTCATCGTAGAACTCGTCGTATTAAAATAGAAACATCTTCATCTAGTGCTTTTTGGAATCAATTCTTGTCTTCGGGTAAAAAACTTGTGTAATTAAAATGATTAATACAATCTCCTCAAGAGCCATCTTTGATGATTTCCACTTTGACATCAAAGTTTGACTATTTCAGCATAAAAATTGAAGGCTGGAACCATAGTCACATCCGGCAAAAGCATCTTCTGCCGAATAAATCAAAACGCGTTCAACAAAGGGCTTTTATTGAGACAAGTTAGATCACATTTTTTCCCTTAAAACCCATTCAGGGGTATCCATGTGAGTACGAAAATTCTAAACGTGGCTTATGTAAAGCTGTCTTTTGGGAAATGGCTTGACAATTAAAACACATAGCCTCGTTTAAAAAACACATCAATCCCATAAGATTCGGAACATACTAAGTAATGCACTTGATTCTGCAACAGTAAACACAGATGTAAAAAACACCGACAACGCGGGCGAAAATGATCCGAACCACCACAAAACACACACTAATTGAGACTTTAGATGATTGCCAAAAAAGTCACTTAAAATGAAATTAGGAATTGTGGATTTAATGCCTTTTTTGATTCGGAATATTATTCAGTAAAAAACAGCTTGTCATGTTTAAAAACATAATTTTTTTGGTAAATTGTATGCAATTAAGCACCAACGCCCGACTGTGTAATTTATGCACACCATAGACCGCCCCTTTAAATGAACTTATATTTTGTAGATTATATTTAGTGAAAATTGCATGAGCTTGGTCTTGTGATAACTGAATCAATAATTTAGTCGGCTTACTTAACTCAGGTGTGCAATGTGACTAATGAAAAGCTAAAATCAGAGGATCTGTTATACGTGAATTTAAAGGCCTCTTCCTGGGTATAAACAAATAATAATTTGGAGTTTTTACGGAAATTAAGGAGCGTGTATAGCGTCCCGAGACTCCTATGAAGACGAAAGAAGACAGAATATTCGGGCAGAATATATATTCAGCTCAGAGTAGGCGTCTGGGCTACTGGCATGGCCCGAAAGGCCAGCCCATCCAACGAGGTACAAGAGGGCGCTCCGTTAATAACGGGGGATTAATCACTATCGTATTACAATAAACATTCGGGAAAGGGAAGGTATTTGGGCTACTG